TTTGGGGCCAAGAGTGTCCCAAGACGGGCCAAGAGAGCTTCAAGAAATTCCCAAGATGGTCTACTTGGGCCTCGAGACGCCTACGGAGCGTTCCAGGACGCCCAAGAATGCTTCAACACGGCCCAAGGGGACCCCAAGAGGCCCTCCAAACGCCCCGAGAGAGTAAGAGGCCCAAGCAGGCCCCAGGAAGCAAACAACAGTGACTGTCCTTTGTTTTTTTGGACGGCTTTGGCTTTCTCGAATTTCCAGATTCCCGACCCAAGAGTGCCCCAAGACGGCTCAAGAGGCGCCCAAGACGGCCCAAGAGGGGTGTCAGGACGGCCCCAAGAGAGGGCCCAGATGGGGAACCCGAGCGGATTACTTTCGAGCCCTCGGCCCAGAGGAGCCCTGAAGCCCCCGAAAGGCCCCCAAGAGGCCCCCGAGAGGCTCCCAAGAGGCCCCCAAACTGCTCCCGAGAGGCCCCCGAGAGCGCTCCGAAGAAACCCGAAGCAGTACAGTCGGGGGCTTGACCTAAGGAGCCCAAAATAAGGAACGAGGCCCCTTTTTTCCATGAGTTAAACTTTGATTTCCGATCGAAAACATAAGGAAAACCTGAGGAAAACTACGAAACACTTCAGGAACGCGGAGCCCCTCCCCAACGAAAAGGGTTCCTTCTTCAGGGCCCCGACTGTAACCCTGAGAACTCTGGCCCACAACCCAGGCACGGTGGCGTGATGGGCCGAAGGCCATACGATCCGCCGCCCCCCGTCGATTCATCGCAGGGGTGCCTGGCGTGCTGAATCCTCTCGGTTTTGGTTTTTGATTCCTTTTCCAAAAGAACTCCCCCTGGGGCTCCGGCGCGTCCCGCCGGCACCTGGAAAGGAGCACAATTCCAATTTTTGTTCGCTCAAGATGGCCCAAGATGGCCTCCAAGATGGCCAAGTTGGCCCAAGATGGCGTCCAAGGTGGTCCAAGATGGTCTCCAAGTCCGCCCAAGATGGTCCAAGACGGCCTCCCAGATGGCCCAAGAGAGTCCAAGACGGCCCAAGACGGTCCAAGAGGCCTCCCAGAGGCTTCCAAGACGGCCCAAGAGGCCTCCAAGAGGTCCTCCAGGAGGGCTCGAAGAGGCCAAACTCAATGATGTTCCACTGGTTTTTGACTGATTTTGGCATTCGCTTCTTCTCTTGCTTTCCGACGACGCAAGATGGCCCAAGAGGCCCCCAAGATCGCCCCCACAGCGCCCAAGAGGCCTCCAAGATGGCCTCAGGACTGCCCAAAAGGCCCCCAAGACGGCCCCAAGAGGGCACACAAAGCCGACCCAAGAGGCCTCCAAGACGCCCAAGATGGCCTTTAGTATGGCCCTAGAGCGTTCCAAGAAGGCCCCAAGTCGGCCCAGAAAGACCCCGCAAACAGCTTCCGACGGCGTCAGACGGGCCAGGAGCCCACCAAGATGGCCGAAGTTGGCTCGAAGCTGGCCCAAGACGGCCCAAGAGGCCTCCAAGAGGGCCTCCAGGAAGGCCAGAAAAGGCAACATCACGATTTTGACATTTGCTTCGTTTCGGCCTTCCGACGGCCCGATATGGCCCAACAGCCCCCGAAGATCACCCAAAGATCGCCCAAGAGGCCTCCAAAATGGCCCCAGAACGGCCCAAGAGGCCCCCAAGACGGCCCCAAGAGGGCCCCAAGACGGCCCAGGAGGCCTTCGGACGGACCAGGGGCCCACCAAGACGGCCGAAGATGGCACTAAGATGGCCCAAGACGCTGCCCAAGAGGCCTCCAAGAGGGCCTCCAGGAAGGCCCGAAAAGGCAAACATTATTGACTTCCCACCAGTTTTTGAAGGATTGTGGCATTTGCTCTTTTTTCGGCCTTCCGACGGCCTGAGACGGCCCAAGTGCTCCCAAAGATCGCCCAAGAGGCCCCCAAGACGGCCGAAGAGGCCTCTAAGACGCTCAAGATGGCCTCCACGACGGCCCAAGAGCCCTCCAAGACGTCCTCCAAGAAGGCCCGAAAGGGTCGAACTGGCCTCCAGGCGGCCAAGATGACCTTCAAGATGCCCACATTTTCCCCGAAGGCTTTCCAAACCGATTCGGGGAACACATGCTCCGATAGCTTGGCAGTTCTGGCCTCAACGTTCGGCCACATAGGCGCTTCCAAAAAGGCAGGGGGCGGCGGTGATTCGCCGTAGGCGTCTTCGATAAGTATTGTTGATCCCTCTCACTGGTGCCCCTTTTCTGCAATGTATAGGTCTCTCCTGGGGTTCGCACCTTCTTTTTGTTTGTCAAGTATAATCTTTTTTCTTCCACCACGCAACGAACTGCCAACATGTTACATCTCTCGTGGCCAAGTGCTGTTGGCAATGTGGCCAGGCTACCACCACTTCCGTGTGACCATAAAGGGACCCAAACAGCAGGAGGACGGGAAGAACAGGAAGAGAGGACAGAAAAGAGGGGAAGGCCGAGGGGCGGGGAAGAAGGACAACTAGCAGTTTGGGGTGTTCGGCCTGGTGCAGGCGGCGCGGGGAGCAGACGGCTGACCCGATGCTCGCCCCGCCAGGCTGCAAAGGATTTGCAGCAGGTGAGAGATTGCTCCGACAGGGAGGATGAGGAGGAGGAGGAGGAGGAGGAGGAGGAGGAGGAGGAGGAGGAGGAGGAGGAGGAGGAGAAGGGAACGGGAGGAGAACAGAGCCTGGGCAGGGCCTTGAATGAGGCTCGCGCGTGCGTAGACCGACATTGATAGGCGGCGCTCGCACTGATGCCCACGCGAGCAGAAGCGAAAGAAAGACGCGGGAGAAGGGGGAGAAAGTAAAGTCTTCCTGTTGGAACTTTGTTGTGGGGCCCCCCACGCTAAAACAACGACGACGGCTCCCGCGTGAGACCGCCCCACGATGGATCCGAGATTCGCGCTCACGCTCGAGACTTCCGTGCACTGACGCTGCCGAAGCATCCAGCCCTCCTCGCCTGTGACCTCCTCGCGGGTTGCCGCCCGCGCTGCGCTCTCGACGCCGAGGGATCGCGCTCTCGCACGAGACTTTTGCCCCCCACAGCTTGCGCACGCCGCCTCCTCCCCACGAACTGGCGCCTTCCGTGCCTCGCTCGGGTCGGGCGAAAGGGGGGGATAGCAAAGGGGGGGTTTGATAATCAGCTCACGTAGCTGATTTTCCCGGCGCCTCCCGGCGCCTGAGGCGACTATGTATCCAGGAATGGGCCCCTCGGTTGGGCCGAAACCAGCTGCCTGCAGCAAATTTCGTAACCCTCCCTTTCCCAATCCCCCCCGTTCTCGGGCGTTGGCAGAAGTCCGGCCCGAGTCCCCCTACCGGCAGATTTTGGAAGAAGAATAGAAAAAATGGGGAAAAATGCCAAAACGGTAAAAAAAAAACGAAAAAGCAACCCCCAGACTATGTCTTGACTATTTTTGGATAGTCCCCCTGTAGAGGGACCGGCCCGACTTCACTCAAGCCAAGACCAGGTCGGGCGTGTGCCCCTACAGGCGGATTTTGGAAGAAGAATATAACAAAGACCCCCGACATGCTCAGCAGTTGACCCACAAGAAGCGAACCTCCTCCCGAGACGCTCTCTTGAATACTTTTGAAGGTGCCCTCTGTAGAGGGACGGGCCCGACTTGAAGCCAAGGCATGGTCTTCACGCCAGGCGTTCTCTCACACAGTGGTCCAGGTCTAGACCTACAACAAGTGGAGCGACCACAGAGCCTCCAAAAGAACACGCCCAGAGTCCAGTCCGCATTGCTGACTCTCTAATGCTCCTAGGCGGAATCTGGAGTGCAGAACGTTGATGGATGTAATTCGGACCTCTGGCGGACGTTCGGGACGACCCGGACGCCCCCGAAACACGCCCTCGGCGAGGCGCAGCTGCCGGAGGCCATCCCGAGCCGGGAAAAGCCGCCGAAGAGATCCGCGACAACGCCCGCCAGCCTCGAAGCTCGAGCAGGGCTCCCGGCGCCGGCGTCGCTCGCGAAGCGGCCGCTCGTCGCCGACGCCGTCGACGTCACCGAGCGCAGTCGCCGCTCGTCGTCGTCGTCGTCGCAGTCGTCGTCGTGGTCGTCGCTCGTCGCTCGTCGTCGCCGTCGTCGTGGTCGTCGTCGTCGTCGCTCGTCGCCGTCGTCGTCGTCGCTCGTCGCTCGTCGTCTCCCGCCGCCGAGGCGCTGCGGAGGGCGGCAGCCGTGGCCTCCGCGGAGGCGCGCGGCGCGGGCGTGAGCCGACCCGTGGCCGAGGAGGTCGCCGTCGAGGAGGGCGGGGCCGCGTGGAACTGCCCCGCCGAGGCTCGGAGACGCCGTGGTCGTCGTCGTCGTCGTCGCCCTCGTCGTCGTCGCGCTCGTCGCCGTCGTCACCCTCGTCGTCGTCGCTCGCCATCGTCACCGTCGTCGGCGCTCGCCGCCGTCGTCGTCGTCGTCGCAGTCATCGTCGTAGTCGCTCACCGTCGTCGTCGTCGTCGTCGTTGTCGTCGTCGCTCGCCATCGTCGTCGTCGTCGTCGTCGCCGTAGTCGTCGACGTCGTCGTCGTAGTCGCTCGCTATCGCCATCGCCATCGTCGTCGTCGTCGTCGTCGTCGTCGCTCGCGGTTCTCGCTCGCGGTCGTTCGTGGTCGTCGTCGTCGTCGTCGTTGCCGTCGTCATCGTGGCTCGCCGTGGTCGTCGTCCTCGTCGTCGTCTTTGCTCGCCATCGTCGTCGTCGCGTTCGTCGTCGTCAACGACGTCGTCGACGTCGAAGCCGTCGTCGTCGTCGTCGTCGTCGTCGTCGTCGTCGTCGTCGTCGTCGACGTCGCCCTCGTAGTCGACGTCGCCCTCGTCGTCGTCGCTCGCCATCGTCACCGTCGTCGCTTGCCGTCGTCGTCGTCGTCGTCGTCGTCGTCGCTCGCCGTCGCCGTCGTCGTCGTCGTCGTCGCAGTCATCGTTGTAGTCGCTCGCCGTCGTCGTCGTCGTCGTGGCTCGCCATCGTCGTCGTCGTCGTCGTCACCGTCGTCGTCGCAGTCATCGTCGCCCTCGTCGTCGTCGCTCGCGGTCGTTCG